TAAGACCTGGGGCTCTTGGAAAACAACTAAAGGTATCTTTGCATTGTGAGATAGGCATGAGCTTTGGGGGACTAGGAGCGAAATGTTATGGTTTAGATATTAGGTGTCCCCCAAAAGCTCATGTATGAGACAATGCACGAAGGTTTAGAGGTGAAGTGACGGGTTCTGGGGTTCTGAGAGCCTGAACCTAATCAGTGCATTAATCCCCTGATGCGGATTAACTGGGTGGTAACTGGACAGCAAGGGTGTGGCTGGAGGAGGTGGGTCCCTGGGGGCTGCCTTTGGTGTATGTATTTTGTCCTTGTTGACTAGAACTCTGTTTCCTGGTGCCGTATTCCCTTTTGCCACACTCTTGTTCCACGATGTTTTGCCTCACCTCAGGCCCCTGAGAGGGAGTCGGCCATCTGTGCACCAAGACCTCTGAAACTGTGAGCCCCAAGTCAACTTCTCCTCCTCTAAAATTGTTCTTGTCAGGTTTTTTGGTCACAGAAGTGAAAAAGTCCACGAGAACAATATCTATTTCATATCTTTACAGTTTCTTTCTGATAACATTAAAATAATAACTTCAAATAGAGCAAACACTATGTTGCATATTTTAAATAAGTGATCTTAATTCAAAGCACTTTTGCTTTATTTTGTTATTCTCATATCCCTGAAAAGTTGGACAGTGGTATTATCTCTGTATGATAGATTGATGGACAGGGGTGCAAAGGAACTAGTACCAGACCCCATCCCTATGATGCCGGGAGGTGATAGGATCTATCCAACTTATTCTCCACCCTCCTGTGAACAATAGAACACAGGGAAAGAGAAAAAGGAAGACCAGACAGGTCAGGTTCTAGGAACTGCTCGTGAACAGCAATCTGGTGGAAAGACTGCAGGGTAAGAGGAGGCAATTCCAAGAGCCCCACCCAGCAACTGCCAGAAAACTTCACAGAATGGTTTTCCAGACGGTCCCTCCAAGGCCAGCCAGGTGCTCAGAGGCCTTTCACCCCTAGTGCTGCACCCCAATAGAGACAATTTCTGTTTCCTTTGCCTTTTCATTTTTTATTTCATTCTTATTAAGGTCATAGATATTTATGGCAAAGATTAAACAGAAGAACTCTTCTTATAGTCTCTTATTTTTCCAGAAAGTTTCTACATCTGTAAATTACACATATAATCTTTAAACACACATAGGGAGTGTATACTTTCTACTGTTCTGCAACCTGCTTTTGTTTAAAGTAGTATATTTGGGACATCTTTTCATACCAGCACATATTGCTTCTTCTCCTCACCCCCTTTTCAAGGCTGCATGGTATTCTATTGCATGATGGTATTCCATTGCATGAACAGGCTATATTTAACTGACATCTCCTCAACCAAGGTGTTGTGTTTTTTTTTGCCAACAAACAATGCTATAATAAACATGTTCATCCATGTCTCTCTGAGCACTTTTATCAGTGTATTCAGATTAGCAATTCAAAACAAAAATTGTGTGATCAAAATATGCCTTTAAAAAGTCTTAATCCCAGTAGCTCTGGAGGCTGAGACCAGATGATCAAGAGTTCAAAGCCAGCCTCAGCAACTGTGAGGCGCTAAGCCACTCAGTGAGAGCCTGTCTCTAAATAAAATACAAAATAGGGCTGGGGATGTGGCTCAGTGGTTGAGTGCCCCTGAGTTCAATCCCTGGTAACCCCTGCCAAAGTCTTACAGATACTTCCATGTTGCCCTCTGAAAAGACGGCATTGATTCACACACCTGCTGACAATGGATGAGAGCCTATTGTGTCACAGCAATGGAGAGAATGATTGTTTTTTTTTTTAAAGAATGATGATTACATAGACATTCAAAAATAATACGCTCCAAAAGCAAACCATAAACAAACAAAAAAGACGCACCCATTCCAGACTCATTAGCTTAGTCCATGACATGTGAAAAGTAGATCCAGATACTTGGGCCTACCAGCTAAGACTCTGACACCTTTTGATTGACAGAGAATGGTCAGAGCGGCTGTTCTGAAGCCCTGACTGTACGTGCTATGCTAACCCAGCTGCTTTCCTATCATCACACTCTCCCTCCTCCTCACCCCTCTGGAGTCGACTTTATTGTTTTATAGAAGAAACTGGAGGCTCAGAGAGGTGAGGCTACCTTCCAGGGGATGGAGATGGTGCCTGGTGGGCTGAGGACTGAGCACAGGGCGTCCGGGACGCTGCTCAGGCCCTGAACCACTCTTCTTGGCTGACCCCCTGCCCCGCGTCCTCCCCAGCGAGCTCTGTGGCCATCACCTCTTCCACAACACCCACAGTCATGGAGCGTGGCTGGGCACGAGGAGTTAGAGCATTTGTCTGCAGAAGGCGAAAGATTCCACCTTCAAAGCTTCCCAGCCCGGGGGGGGGGGGAACCTCCACATGCGGGAAGAACAGCCCAGATTTAAAATGACCAGAGGGACACCTCCTGTGTTAAAAGGCAAACTGAAGCAGGCTCAGGACAGCTACGCAGTGCCACCATTGACATGGCAAGGGCTCCAACATCCCATACCATGGCTCCTGCCTGCCCCAAATAGGGGGCTTTTTTTTTTTTCTGAGAACCTCGCTGGTGCCCAAAGCCACAAAGGCCTTTTCTGTATATAAGAACTAGCCCCTGAAGAAGGCACAAAATGTGTTTATGGGGCCATGTGGAAGACCCTGTCCTGAAAACAAGTTAGTCACCGCTTTCTTAGAGGACCATCGGGGCCACTGACTTCAGTTCGTCATGAATCAGAGAGAAGTCATGCTAACCCAGAATTCTCTTTCCCCTTCTTGTTTTAGGTTGGGGTGGGAGAGCACCCAATCCAAGCCTCTCTCCTCCTAACCTCTGTCCTCCACCAACAGAGGACAAACAAGACTCACGTCCACGGTAACCAAGGTTCCATCCGTTTTGTCTGGGCTTCGCCAACCTGAAGGCTCACTGTTCCAGAAAGTCATGCATGTGTGACCCTGGGTCAGCTGAGACCAAAGAGTGGGCAGGAAGCACAGCTCCCTCCTTCCTGGGACCCCTACCCGGGTGCCCCTTTGCTCCGATTTTCCCCAGTCCACAAGGTGACTCTGTCAGCGCCCTGCCCAGTCTCAGAACAAGGGCCGCACATGCAAATGTCTGCAGAGGCTGACGGGCAGGGGAGCAGCCGGCCGGGGGTGGGGGGGGGGGGGGGGGGGGGGGTGGAGACTGGGGCAAACTAGAGCAGAAGCAGACTTCCAGTCTGGCCAGGAGAGGAGAAGGGAGAACAGGGCCAAGACGACGATAGCCAGACCTTACAGGTTTTCAAGCGAATCAGGGCAGCCAGTGTAGACCTGTAGGACTGGACTCCTGCCTGCTCTGGGCCTCAGGGGCCCCTCACTGCCCACCTCTGACTGCACCGGGGCCATGTCCTCCCAGATCCCACAGTCCCCATTCTAGAACCACGCCAGCACCCTGGAGTTCCCTGCCCAATGGCCCTTAGAGAGGCCCAGGTCTGCACGCCCTCTCCTGCAGAGTTGCCAGATAAATACAGAATGTCCAGCTAAATTTGAATCTTTTAAAAATATAACTATGCCCCCAGTGCTGTGTTACTTGTTTATATGAAATTCAAATATAATTTGGCATCTTGTGTTTTTATTTGCTAAATCAGGCAACCCTGACCCCCAGGTCTGTCTTCCTAGGACAGGATCCCCGTATGGCAGTTGGGCGACGAATGCAGAAAATGAAGCAGACACAGTGCTGCACTGGCCACATAAATGCAGGCCAGGGCTGGGGACGGGTTGAAAGAGAGGGGCAAGCTGTGGGCTAGGGGCTTCTGGCTGTTCTGTTGTACTAGAAACATCAGGGACGGGACTCAAATGGGTAATGAAATCTGCAAGCACAGCCTCCCAGGTTTTAAATATTAGATGCACTTCCAAGTTCCTTTAAAATACCATCTCTGTGGGCCTTTCCCCTGGTAGGAGGAAACCCTCCATCATTGCTCATGGCTCTGTTCCTACTCTGCATATTATACACTTCAACACAGCCAGATTGTGTGAGGAGCCCCAGTCCCAGGGGCGAGAGTACAGACGAGCTCGGTGCCACCTATGTGAGAGAGCTATGCCAGGCTCCCTGGGGAGGGGGCACTGCTCTGACCTGGCACCATTGGCAGCGGTATTAACCTCTGTAGAAGGAGGAAGAAAGCCCAGAGCAGTGGCGAATATCTATAATCCCAGGGGCTTGGGAGGCTGAGACAGGAGGATCGCGAGTTCAAAGCCAGCCTCAGCAACTTAGCGAGGCCCTGAGCAACTCAGTGAGATAAATAAAAAGGACTGGGGAGATGCTCAGTGGTTAAGCACTCCTGGGTTCAATCCCCAGGACCAAAAACCAAACAAAGAAAGAGGAAGGAAATTGACACAAGTGGTCAAATGAGCTGAGGTCCTAGAATTAGAACACAAAGGAGAGAGTGTTCCTTTTACTCCAGATTCTTCATTTTGCAGGAGGTGGAGGGAGTTGTGCAACAGGAGTTCATGACGGCTCAAGCCATCCTGAACCCAGGTCTACCGATCCTCGCCCACCCTGCGCGCCCATCATCTGGCTCCTAACGAGGACAGGGAACAGTACTCCTTCCCCACCATCCGGGGACAATAGCAAACTTGATTAGAAATTATGCTTCAAAAAGAAAGCAAGGACGGAAGACAGAGAGAAAGAAGGAAGGGAGGGAGAGGGGGTGAGAAAGAAAGAGAAGAAAAAAGAAAAGCCCCCCGCCCCCAGCTTCTCCACTTTGGGAAAGTAAGTGGAAAACAAACCCCTCCAAAGCATGAAAGCACCCTCAACGCCAGGAGGGCAACAGGAGCCTGCGGACTCTAGCCCTGTGGCGCTTTTCTTTGCTCCAAGGGCTGAAGGTGGCCCCACAGGGCTCTCAAAGATCCCCAGGACCCTCGGCCAACTCAAGCAGCCACCTCCGGGTTCTCCCCGCTCACCTGCCCCCCAGCTTCCAAAGGCCACGTCAGAGGCCGGCAGGAGGTCGAGGCGGTGACACTGACCTGAACTGGGTAGAAGATGGCCTGCAGGGTGGGCAGGGTCTCAGTGAAGAAGTGGTCCCAGACGTCAGCCAGAGCCTCCACGAGGTTCTCACCTGCACCGGGGCGAGAAGACGGGAGGGGAGAGGGGAAGGGAGAGCTCGGGTTAGTCCCAGCAGAGGCCAGAGACAGTCCCACCTCCGAGGTGAAGTCCTATGTGATGGATAACTTGCAGCCAGGGCTGTTGGGACCCGGAGGCCAGAGCTGTGGGGCTGTAGGGTCTAGGTCCCTGGCCTAGGAGCGGGGACCTCGTGGAAGGTCATGGTCAGGTCAGGCAAGCTTTGCCCTTGGAAGGGATCCAGGCTGGCAGTGCAGACTTGGTTCTCTTCAGAGTGGATTATCATAACAGTGAGTCAGACCCCGGAATCCTGCCCTCCTGTCTTGGCTGGTGATCTCTTCTGCTGTTGTGATGCCACCCACCAGAAAGCCCTTACCACAGGCTGAACCAACGGGACCACCAGATTTTGTATTTCCAGCCTCTGAAACAGTGAGCTAAATAACCTTTTTTCATTATAAAGTACCCAATCCTGGACATTTTGTCGTAGCAATGGAAAATGGATTGATACTGATGGGAAGATTCAACTCAAACTATGTAAACATGACTTTGTATCCCTGGATTCAAAATAGGTGGCTGAAAATTTAAAATCACATAATAATTGCTATCATCATGTGAATAGTTACATTATCAGACAGTGTGTTAAGTTGCTTATTAACAAGCTATCTCATGAATAGACTCTGTTACCCCCGTTTCACAGGTTCAGAGAGGCCAAGTACCCCCTGGTGTAAAGTCACACAGCTTGAAGGCAGAGAGCTATAATTCCAGAAGCCATGCTCTTTACCACCCTAACCTGGGAAATCACATGTACAGCCATATATTGTTTTGTTTTCTTAGTCATGAACACACTGGCCTTATTCTGGGATTGAGCTGTCAGTTGAGAGAGGTGGAAAGAGGATTCTGGAAACTGTCAGCTCCGCCCACGGCTTCACAGTAAATGAGAGGGCAGCATTTTCTCAGAGGTCACCTGGGAAACACGGGACCCATCTCCTGATTCTGTGCCTACTCACCCAGGGACCAGGCAGCCTAGGCTATGGCTGAGTGCCACCTGCAGGCTGGGGCACACGTGTCACCTGATGCCACAGGGGTGGGGACAGAGAGAGGAATTTGCACCTGCGGGAGAGGCAGGCGCTAGCAGAAGCAGCCGGCTTGGCGGTGGCTGCAAATGACCTAGATATCAGAGCTGACTGGGCACTGTCTGCTCGTCCCTGGCAGAGAAACTGGGTCAGCCAAGACAAGACACCGTTTGGCAAAATCCCGCTCGTTTCACGGGGCAAGTCCTGAAAGGCCGATTGAGCCTCCCGCGTCTATTAATTTAATGGACAATAAAAGCCATCGCTGTGGAGAAGGAAGAGAGCGGGGGCGGGGGGCTGAGGAGTCGCTCAGGGGCCCAAAGACTGTAGACCTTTGAGGTCAGGTGACACACAGTGGGGGAGGGGCAACCCAAGCGCCGCCACTCCCTGAGGACATGGATCCTTACTTTGTAGGAGCTGCTTGTCACTTCCTGTCCCCTCCCCTAGAGCTGGCAGGCCACACTGTACTGCTGTACTAACAGTGTGGGGCACAGTGCCAGATACACGAAAAAATCTATTCTAGAAACCTTCTCGGGACTGAGTGGCGAGTGCCAGGTGTAAAGGTCTGTGCAGGTGCTTGGCCCCGTGAGTGGAAGGAGGGACCATTAGCCCAAATATGAGGCAGTACGGAGAGGGACTTAATCACAAGTGGAAATAAAATGCTCTTCGAATAAAGAAAATGTCTACGTGTGGCCTACTCTCTGTGTCTTCATCCTCTGGAATATCTGCCTCAGCCTTTGGGCTCCTTGTGGATTTTATCTTAGCCATTCACTGTCACCGTGCTTCCTTATGCCACAGGGCCTTTGCACCTGGCAGTTTCTCTTGCCTCACCTACTTCTGTTTATCTTTCTGTTTTAACTGAAATTTTACTTCTACAGAAAACTCTTTCCCCATGGTTCCAATCCCTCTACGATGGATTGCCTTCACAGTACTATCTAGTCACAATTCTATATTTGGTGACGACTTGATTAATACCTGTCTCCACTACCTGTTTATAAGCTCCATGGGAGTCTATGAGGTTTCATTCATCACAGTATCCACAGCACCTAGCAAAGAACCCGGTATCTACTAAGTCATCAATAAATGTCTGATTGACTCAATTACCACCCTCTTTCAAATGTAGGTTGGGCTCATTCACCTCGGGGAGGAGGCAGGAAGTCAAAAGAGCCATATAAATGTTAGGTCACCACTACTCCTAAAACTAAGGTGAACTCCAGCAAGAGGCTCCTCCGTTGATGGGCCTTCTCTTGAGCCCTCCACAACAGACACGCTCCTGACTTTGGATGGGCAGGAGCAGACCCTCGGGGCCCAGCTGTGCCTGCTTCAGTGCCTGGCACGTGAGGGGAGCCTTGAGCCCACCGGGGAAGCTGGGCCAGGGAGTAGCGAGCAGCTCCCTAGCTGCTGGCTGCAAACTTCAGAGAACAAGGAAGGTTTAGGAAAGCGTTCAAAAAACACCAGCAGACGGACACAGGCCAACAGGACAGGAAGGCCCTGGGGAAGAAAGAGTTAAAGGAAACAGGTGACTGAGGGAAAAGACCCAGGAGCCAAGGACCTAGCTCCTGCAAAGGGGAAGGGGATTTGCAGTGGAAGGTTCTAAGTGGTTCCTCTAACGTACCACCAGAGCTGAGATCCCAGAAGATTATAGGAAGGTAGATGAAGCTTCCTGAGGTCAAGGTCACTGAAGCTCTAGAAAAGATCACTGAGAACACCTGTCTCCTGCCACAAAAGTGCAACCAATGGACATGGAGGGCCACCTGTCCTTTCTGCAGCCATCCAGCAGGGGTGTGCAATAAAGTAAGGTTCATGGGGCAACCGGAGAGATCATATTTGTTTTTCCCAAACTTCGCTTGATAGCCAGAGAATTCTTTTATCCAGACAAAATCTTTCTTGGGGTTCTAATGCATAAAAGTAGAGATGTCCTAGTTGGAGATGGGAAAGACCCTTGAAGTTCCCAGGAGCCCGTTGCTTGTGCAGAGAGGCCCCGGCACCCAAAACCCTGGAACTAGAGGAGACCCCCAGGGACGCCCTGGCCCATGCACTCTGGCTATGCCTTGGGGCGTAGGCCAGGATCCAGGATGATCTCTTCACTCTGCCTCGCTCCATTTCTGGATTTTGGCTCTACATTGAGGATGACCTGGACGAGAGTCGTCAACTTCCTGTCAAGGGCATGTGAACGTCCAAGTTTTCTGGGGACCTCTTTCATACGGCTGGTTCCCTGCATTTCCAAGAGCTTGGAGTAACTCCCTCAGTGACTGACAGATGAGGAATGTGGCCAGGGACCATGCTTCTTGTCCCCCCCTTGACTGGGTAGCTGCCTCCTTTGCCTATGCACTCGTGAGACTCCAAGATGCACAACCACACCGAGTTCCTGGTCAGAGCCACCTCAAGTCTAGCCTCCACTGACTGGTGAATGGATAAAGGAAGCACAGTGTAGCTACGCTAGAGTAGTATTTGGCCTTTAAAAAAATAGAAGAAAAAAGGGACAATATGATGCCTATTGGGTCTGGATCCAGAAACCAGCTTGACTATAAGTCAAGATCAAGTCATTAGGCTGGAGAAGGGGGAAAAAAAAAGCCCCAGTAGACATCCTACTATGTGCCACATAGAGTGCTACTCCAGTTATGGGCCTTGTACTCCCTGCAAGCCCTCAACCCAGGTCATCGCTTTAAATAGGATGAAAACAAACTCGAGAACCTGGCAACTTGTCACGTCACCCGAGAAGTCAGAGCTCAGATCAGGCCCCGGGTCGGGGGAGCCCAGGCACAGGGTCGGCCTTCCCTGCCTCTCATACCAGCTCCTCCCAGTTCTTCTCAATCCTGTCGGTTGGCTTCTAAAATCAGCATAGACCAGGAAATTCCTTTATCTATCAAATCCCACCCCATTTTTTGAGTGTGAGCCTGCTTATCCTAATGTCCTCCAAATAAGGGGGACACTGCTGTCTACCAGGATCCCAAGAAATATTACAAAGGCCAACAGGAAACAGCCAGAGGCAGAGCCAAGGGACCAGCATGGCGGAATCCACAGAATCTTCCAGGAAGTCCATCAGGATGTACCCCGTGAAATCCCTTAACAAAGTCTCCAGAGCAGCCACCCATGTCCCCTCGCTCTTCAAAACACCTTCTGATTGCACTGCATGAGCGGCTGACTCAGACCCAAGTGCCACAGCAGAGCTGAGGGACAGGGTGACTCACTCGCGTGCAGCCTGCTCCTTTTGGACAGAAGCGTCTCAGCTGTCCCAACATCAAAGGCTGAGTCACAGGGGCCCCACTCCACCAGGGCTGCCTTGTACTTGCCTTCGCACAGCTTGATCTTCTCCTCCACAAACGACAGTCCCTTTGCAAGCAGCTGGTTCTGCCAAAAGAGAACAAAGGACACAAGAATTGGCGACTCTGGAGCAACCAGCAAGCAGCCCTCCTCCATTTCCAACAGAGGCCTGGCCTGCCTGAGCGCAAGTCAAGGCCAAGGAGGCTTTTGTCCTCTTGGAAGGCCGAGGCCTGGGAGAACCAGGAGACACCCCAGAACCAAAGCAGTGAGCAAGCGAGCAAGGGAGCCCGAGCCGAACGCAGCCGCCACCCCTCCACCGTGGGAAGAGATACGGCACAGCCTCTGCTGAAGTCACTACTGCTGCCACCCCATGTCCTGAGATCCCCGATGATCTGAACTCACAAAAGGAGCTTTGAGGCAATGGGAAAATATGCAGAAATAGTTTTAAAAAGATAAATTGAGAGTGTGTCACACTAGCACAAAAGAGATCGAATGCAAAATCCTGAGCAGCAGCAAGTGGGGGTCCGTGAGTGCCCCAGTGCCTGGGGAAGCTGTGGACAGATAGCCAAGTCCTCCTGCCATGGCAGCTGGCCATGGGCGAAGGTCCTGCATCGATCCCAGGCTCTTTCAAGTCATTTCATTCCATCCTACGAGGCTGAATGAGTGAACTATTAGCCTCATCTACTGGTGGTCAGCGAGCTGGGCCCACAGGACACGGCGGACCTTCCTGCTTCTGGGAGCTAGGCTCTTCCCACTCTGCTACTCCGAGTTCCAGCACGTCTTCCCACCCAGACCCCCTCCTACCCTCCCAGGGCTGCAGCTGGTCCCACTGTGAGTCACAGAAGCTCAAGGTGCTGGTGCCTCTCCACTCACCTCTCCTTAGATGACCGGAGGCCTGTGCTTGTGGGGAGGTGAACAACGAGGGCATGCATGCTTACGAATAAAACAGTGTGGTCTTTAACACTGGCCTTTACAAAACCCTAAGGCCCTCTCACAACAGTGATGAGAACATAGCACAGTGGAAAGAGCCTGGGTACCAGAAAGTTCAAGTTCCAGCTCAACTACTTTTTTTTCCCCCCACTTACTGTATTACTGTATTCTGTTTTTAATTTGTATTTTGGGGGGAGGGTACCAGGGATTGAACTCAGGCACTTGACACTGAGCCACATCCCCAGCCCTATTTTGTATTTTATTTGGAGATAGGGTCTCACTGAGTGGCTTAGCGCCTTGCTTTTGCTCAGGCTGGCTTTGAATTTGGGATCCTCCTTCCTCAGCCTCCTGAGCTGCTGGGGTTACAGGCATGCACCACTGCACTCAACTATATATTTGTATTTTTAATTGACACATAATAGTGGGACCTACTTTTGGAGAACAGTGACATTCCAATACCTGTGTACAATGTGTAATGATCAGATGAGGGTAACTAGCCTACCTGTCACCTCAGATATTTACCATGACTTTGTGCAAGGAACCTTGCACATCCTCTCTACTAGCTATTTTAAAGTGTACAGTTAGTTGTTTTCAACCATAGTCACCCTACAGAGCTACAGAACGTTAGAAGCTAGCCCTCCAAACTAGCGGTACCCCTATGGCTTGGCTACTTCTAGCTATGTGAGTTGGAGCTTAATTTCCCTGAGTAATAAGTTCCTCATCTATAAAATGGCACAATATCAGCAATGTCATAAAGTCCTTGCAAACCAATGATTATAAATCCACACACAGTATCTCATGTCTTCAGTAATCAGTGGTGGTGGTGGTGATGGTAGTAGTTACTATCTCAGCCCAACCACTTCACAAAAGAAGTGGGAGGTAAAGAGAGTCAGTAATGAATGGGCCTTATCACATGTGCTCAGAGTTTATCAAAGACACCATCCCCTTTTTGTGGCTGGGACACATAAACTGAACTTCATAATCCTATCGAGACTTGCAAGCTATGACCTAAATTTGGATAAGTGATTTGGCCACCACTTGGTTTCAAGATGGCGGCTGGAATCCCAGATCAAAGTTGGAACCACACGGTGTAGGAGGACTTTGCTAAAGCAAACAAAACCAATTCCTTCACCAAGAATTATAGAAGAGATAGGATTAGGATGTAGCCCTAATCCGTCCCCAAGTCCCCAGCCAAGCAAATGAATCCTGGCAGCTTCCCGGTCAGAAAGCAAGAAAACTCCCCAGCAACAACATCAGACTGGCAGGACCTTGTGACAGCTGAGCAGGATGTGCCAGGATTGCTCAGGGGTCCAATGATGTCAATCGTTCTGTCCAAACATTTCTGACACAGTCCCAGTTGTGGCCTGGAGTCTCCGCTTAGGGTTGAAGGGGCCTTAGGTGTCATTTAGTCATCCTCCCCTCTCCCCAGTCCTGTGGTCACACACACACAGGTTTTGTTGTTGTTGTTGTTGTTGTTTGGTACCACTGAGTCACATCCCCAGCCATAGAAGTAGGGTCTCCCTCCCTCAGATTCTAACATGTGGACGTGAGGCTCAGCCTCCTCGACTTGGCCTTCATTTCAGTACAGGCTATCAGGAGTAAGGACTTTCAGTCGGCTTCCCGCAACCCCTTTTTCTGCAGACCTGTTCAACAACCCGACCGAGCTGCCCCCTGCCTGTCCACACACCAGCGCACCCACAGGTGCAGCTCTGGCTGCCTGAGGGGCCCCCTCCCACCCTACCCCATCCTGGCCCTTAAGCTGCTGCCCCGCTCTCCTCCTAGGAGCCCAGTCTCACAGTTTCCTGTGGCCAAAGGGTCCTCATCCCAAAGGCCTTGTGCTCTGAAGGACCCCCAGCTGGGGCCTAGCGCTGCCCACTGCCCGCTCCAGGTCCTCACATGTTGATCTTGCAGTCTGTGCTTTCTAAGAAAAGTCTGAGGAGACCCTGCGACGTGCACTGTGGCTGGGCCTCAGCTCCTGATGGTCCTGCCTCCCTCGACCTCCCTGGGCCTGCTCGTCACACCCCTCTCCACCTACCACCCATGTCCCTCTCCTCCTGGGTGGTGACAGGGTCATGTTGGCCTAGCTGCTGGTGCAGGGAGGGTCAGGGTTGGCTGTGTGCCTAGGGCAGAGGCCTCTAAGGGGCTTAAGTCTGCTCACAGGTCCTGAGACAGAGAGAGGGGAGGAAGGAAGCCTGGCCTCGGGCAGGCAGCAATCCTGTATGTTTCTAAGTGCCTGTTCTTCCCAGATCCCACCTCTCAGTACTCCCACCCCTGTCAAGTGCTGATTCCAGAAGGTTCTGAGCAGTGGTGAGGGAGCCCATAGCCACAGAGTGAGACAAGACCCCCTTTTCCCTAGTGAAACTGCAGACCCATCACCTCCCCAGCCAGACAGCCCTCAGCCAAAAAGCAGTCACGTTATATAGCGGCCACCTCGGAAACACCTTGGGCCTCGGGAAGGGACCCGCGTTGCTTAGGGCACCCTCCTCCTGCCCCTCAGTGAACTCGGGCATGGACTAAATAGCACTTTAATGAAGAGGCAGAGTGGTCCGGAAGGGAAGAAATGGCTGGCATTTTTTCTAACACATAAAAAAGTGGGCTGTAAACAGAGAGATGAGGCTCAGTTAGAAAAATGCAAACAAAGTTGCCTTGGGAACGGCACCCGGCCACCACCACCCGGCCTGCAGGAGGAGAGAAAACCCAGCCCATCTGGGGAAGCCGAGGCTGGGTGGAGACCAGGAGAGCAGGGGTGAGGTGGGGCTCCTCGGCCTCATGCACCTCCTGTGAAGCAGACACCCCCACAACCAGGGAGCACAGAGGGGTGAGGGTAGTACCAACCACCTCTTCTTGCAGGAGGGACTTTCAACACAGAGCAGGGACTCTACATGCCGAGGCTGCCGGCAACTGCAGTGTCCACTGCCTCAGCCCTGATGGTGACCACAGTAAGAATGGCCGTGGGGTCATTTACTGTTTTCACTACCAGGCTCCGAATGTCACTCTCTCACGCATTACCTCATTTTACCTCTACCATGCACCTATCCCCTTTTAACAAAAGAAACTGAGACTCAGAGAAGCAGACAGCAAATGTGGGGTCAGAATTTCTACCCAGATGGCTCTGAACCCCAAATCCATGTATTTCCCCCATTACAGCATATTCCTCTGGCTTACCTTAGCAAAACAAAACAAAAAATAAATTAATAAAAGCTAAGATGCAAATAGCCATCCTGTGTTGACGACTCATATGTACCAAGCACTTTGTGTCTGTCACCTCCCTTAGTAACCACATTAACCTTATGAAGTGGGTACCAAGATCACAACTAGGTTATTGCTAAGGGAAACGAGGCTCAAATAGGTTAAGAAACAAGCCTAAGTTCACACAGCGGATTGGACTCCAGACCCACCTGGCAGAAGGGTTGGTGCTTTTCGCCATCACGCTGTCCTGCCCTGAAGAGGTTTCTTGTGTCCTTGCCCACAGAAGCAGCAGATGGAATCCACTTCAGTTTAGACCCTGGGGACAGCTGGCCCAGCCATCACAGGCCTCGTAACTAGATTCTACCCCAGGCCTTCCATCCACCGTGGTTCTTTCTGCAGCCCAGTTCTGCTATCAGCTTTCCAACTCCCATGTCTCCAAAAGGACTCTTCCAGGGCCCTCCTCTCCACTACCACATTCCGTGTCCAGCCCAGGTGGATCCCATTCCCAAACAAGACATTCCTTCCCACCCCAGAGGGGCCTCATGGCTGTGCTACTCTGCCTACGGAGAACATATGTGAGCCAACAATTCCACCCAGGCATGTGTTTCCGGTGATATCCGTGTCTTCAAAGGTTCCTGTTATTGGCAAGGACCAAGGGATGGAAAACACAGTTCACCCCCATTTCTACCCGGCACGACTTGGAAAGGCCAGCATGATCTCTAATGTTATCTGCATTTCCTGTGAACCTGGTCGCCCTCCTAAGCAAGCAATAAAAGTCTCACAAACACAGTCACCCCCAGGCCAGAGAGTTCTTAATAAACCAGTCCTGGTGTGGGCGGGTGGGATGAGATGGAGCGAAAACCCAAGACAGAGACTGAGAAGATCAGTCACTCAGCAGTAATACTGGTTCTCCACTGAGTACCGTTTCAGCCACCATGAAAGGGGGAAGTGGGGCTTCTAAAAATTAT